CCCTCTTTGTCAGGATATCAAGAAGTACATCCATATAACTGAGTCTGTAATTTACAGACGTCAGAATAGGGAAAGATAAGACTGTCGTTTATTTGACATATGTGTACTAATACTTTATACATATTTTAATTTACAAATCCTTTAAAAGAGCAAATCGGGTTGCTCCTTAACAATCATTTGGTAGAAAGGTTGGAAATTAAACCAACCAGCTTCTCTCGTTCCCCCGATCTCGTGAACTTGTTTTGCACATTCGTGATTAATCTGGATGGGCTTCTCATTTCCGTGGCATGCAGCTTCAGCCAGCAATTGTACTTGACAACATCTTTCCATGTTAATAGTAAGATACGCGGCTTCATCGACAGTATGTCCGACAGTGACTAGGCCGTGATTACAAAGAATGATCGCTTTCTTCTTTCCGAGAGCTTTAGCAATACGCCTGCCTTCTTCATCGTTCGTTGTAATACCTCCATAATCATAGAGAGCATGATCCTCGTAGAATATGCAAGAATCTTGGGTAATTGGATCCAACGGCCGAACTAGTGATGAAAACGCTCTGGTATATATGCTATGACTTGAGGGTGCAACACGTTATAATTAGTATTGAAATGTATGCGATGTGGAAAGTTCTCTTCCACTAGGATTTTTTGCTGTTGATAAGAGCACATTATAGTTGGTACTATTAATACGTTACCAGTGAGTCGCGCAAATTATATCGGGTCTTGCTTCGTATAGCATCGAATGGAGGTTTATTCCAATTTGGTTAATGTAAGTGTCTCCATTGGAATATAAAATCTCGCCTTTCTTATTTACAAGCGCTAGGTCTGATACTTTAATTTGGGAGAAGTGTACTCCGTATGGATTCATCCTATGTTCAAATACCGGACTTTATTTTAACGAAGGCATGCTTCATTCCGTCTGCATTTTTTGGTTAGCTAGTCGTTATCATTACCAGAAAGTCTCCGGGTTTTCCGGATCCCGACAAGTTACGTGGCCGGCTGTACCTACG